TGTGATGCCGTGGATGGAGGTAGGGAGAGAGATGCCCAGAGAATAGGAAATGTTCTCCCCATCTGTTGAGAGAAGAGAGAGCAGGTGGGGATGCCGCCAACATTCAGGTTATTAGCAGGGCTGAGGATGTGTTATTTTTCTTGCAATAACTGGTGAAGCCAGCTAATAAAGGAAAATCATAATTTTAACACTGATGGTAGGTAGTCAAGGAAACCCAATATCTTCCTTTCTATTCTCTCTAGCCTCAGGAAAAACACAATCTGTGATACTGATGTCATCAAGATAAAATGGTATTTTTAAATTATATCAATACCTGTGTTGCCAGTAGTGCTAGATATTAAAAGTTGAGAACTGTTCCCTTTTACCTGTCAAGTTCCATCACAGTAGCACCATTAACTCATGCCTTTCTATCATCCACTAGCAGAAAACCTGCAGGGACAGCCTCATCCCTTCACTCGGATCCTTAACAGATTAACAGATGAGGAAAAAGTTGCCATCGGAGATGGGAATAAATGGTAATGTCTGGACTTTGTGAGGAGGAAGGAGGGGGTGAAAGCAGGACCTTGGTTTGAATGCCCTCCACTTTGGTGTCCCTTTGCAGCAGCAAGATGGGCTCCATCCATATATGAGCACCTTTTTGCTTTGCTCAGTTTTTACTTTCTAAGGGAGGTTCCCCAAAACTGCCTTACAGAAGGAGAGCAAAGCAGTGAGGTCTCGAGCAGCGTGGGCTGGGAGCTGACATCAGGTCACGTTTCCTGACAAACCGTTTATGTGTCTGTGTTTGATAAAGTTGCATTGTGAAGCTGCCCATTTCCTTCCCAGGTCTGTGAGGATGGCTCCGTCGTGGCTCTGAAGGAAACGGGGACAGGGTGAAGACTCGCCCTAAAAGCCCAATAAGTATTTTACAGATGACCTAAAGACAAACAGGAGGGAAGCGAGGGCAGGGTGGGAAGGGCAGGCAGCCTGCTGGATGCAGACAGCGGGCTGCAGACGTGGCTGAGCTGTGGCACTCCTGAGAAGGGCAAATATGGAGATAACTGGGCAGGGATGTGGGTGTATACTGCTTAGCTCTGAAAGGGCAAGATTAAATAGGCACAGGAAGATCATCGCAGCCTTCCTCTGACTTGGCGCTGCTCTGTGACACTTTGATGCCCACTCTGTCCTAGTTCACCCTGTGTCCTGTTTGGCATTGTCATAGAATCACAGAATCTTAGCACTACAGAATGGTTGGGTTGGAAGAGACCTTAAAGCCCACCCCATTCCAACCCCTGCCATGAGCTGGCTGCCCCCAGCAGCTCAGGCTGCCCAGAGCCCTATCCCACTTGGCCTTGGGCACCTCCAGGGATGGAGCACCTATCTCTGGGCAGTTGTGCCAGGGCCTCACTGCCCTCTGAGTAAAGAATGTCCTCCTTACCTCCAATATAAATCTCCCCTCTTTTAGTTCAGAAGCATTCCATGTAAGAATTTGGTCTCCCTCCTGGTTATAAGCCCCTTTTGAGTAGTAGAAGGCTGATCTTACAAAGTAGATCTGATCTGAAGTAGATCTTCCAAAACAGAGCCTCCTCCCATGGCCAGAGCAGTCCAAAGGAGCTAAAGAGCACTTTCCTTGTCCCACGGAAATCCTAAGGGTTGCAGAATTTGTGATGCTGTGTTTGGTAGGTAGGTCTGGAGGCAGAACCATAGGCTTCAATGCAGTTTCAGGCTTTTGTGCCACAACTGAATAATGATTTTCTTCTGATCAAAGCATTGTGCCAATTTCCACTCACAATGATAATGTGGAAACTCAGAGTAAGATAGCAATAATAAGTAATTATAAGTAATAAGTCACGGTGAATGCTCTAGGCAGAATGCTTTCATTCTGAGTATTCCCATGCACTTACACGTGCTGGCCGAGCTTGCCCCGTTAATTTGCTGCAAGCTGTAGCACTGCCAGGCAGAAGCAGAATTCATCACTTTATTGTACTTGCATATTGGTTTTACATGGATATTCTGTGCTGTGGAGGACACAGATCATTAGGAAACTGTTTTAGCTCATCTTTTACTCCTCAGCATCTGCCCTGCGTTCTCCTGCTGGTGCTGGTAATTGATAGTCCGTCAAATTGCCTCAGAAGAGATGCAGACAGTAGGACATGACACCTGGAAAGCAAAGCCTGAGCTGCTGCAAGGCCCTGCCCAATTTATTCCTTCTGTTCCACAGTTTCCCCCTCTCTAGGAGTAGAAACCTATGAAGTACCCTGGCAGAGGAAATGGTGTAGGGAGGTAAGGTTTGCTGATCACTGACTACAGATGTGTGTGCCCACCAGCAGGACACAGCACTCTGGAGTGGCCTTCAGCAGCTGATGAATAACTCCCAGCACCTTCCTCTGCTGTGTGGTTCCTTAAACAAACGGATCCCTCTTCCAAACCAAGCTCTGCTTGAGAAGAACACTTGGGATGCAAATCAGGCTAGAAATATTTGCTCTGGAGTGAGCATTGTGGGAGCCTCTGCCTGTGCATGTTGTGTTAATGGGGGAGAGGAGACGGAGAAGAAAAATCACAGCGCAGAAATGAATTGCTGGTGATAGGTCCTTGGCATCCTTCTTTGGGTAATTTTCCAACTTCAATAAACAAGTTAAAAATGAGAAAAATAGGGAAAATAATAAATCTTTTCTGTATTTTTTTTAAGGTAATTTGAGCATTAATCAAATCAGCCTTTATCATAAGCCACGTGGCACTGAAAGAGTGGCACAGAAATTAAATTCCCAGAAATTCCAGGTGAGCATGTTTTTGGTGAGCATTTCAGTTTTAACAGGGATTTTACTAGGGAATGCATGCACACATGGAAAGAGAGGTCAGCCATAAGACCACCACTGGTCCCGAGGGACAGACGGACCCTGCATTTCTGCAGGGCTCATGCGAACACCAAGCTGGTCTGGGGGCCGTGAAACCAGGCTGATAGCAACTGATGTAGGAGCAAGAGATTCCCATCCTTTGGTAAATCGAGGTGTTGCTTATAAACAATACAGAAACCATTTCCCTGATTTGAGTACTGGTTCTATGGTGCCTGCACCCCAAGGATTAAACACCTCTCTATGGTGTGTATCTAAGGAAACGCTAAAAATGATATATAGCTTTTTATTTCTTTATACTAAGTGATGTTTCCAGAGGATAAATGTTTCAGATGCTGTCATTTGATTGAAGCAAAATCAAGTGAGCCAGAAGCTGAGAAACTTCAGGACTGATTTCTGACAACGGTTACAAGAGGCTTAGCAGGATGAACTTTCAGTGTTCCAGTAAGATAAAGTGGAATAGAAAATTGATGTGATAAAAGAAGAGATTGGCGAAATAGGCATTTTTGATGTGCCACCCAGAAATATACAGTATTTCATTAAATTATTCTTTCAGTTGAAGGAATAACATTTAAGCGCAATAAGATTAGGAATTTGAAAGACTTCAAGAGAGCTTCATTTCTCATGGAGCACACTCAGGGACAGTCTGACATTTAATTTCTTAGCAAAAAATGAAGTGAGGCTGGAAAATGGGGCACAATTAGCATTTGCTTAAAACTTGGACACAGTTTTACATTGGTTCAAACAATGCAATCAGGATTGAGTGAATAATTTTCTCTGACTTTGTCTCTTTGTTTCTGCTTACACTCATGTGAACAGCTTGCAATTTCCCTCAAATGCACCCATTCTGTTCTGGGAGTTATTCATCAGATAAATTTCATGAGTAATTCTCAGTCTTTCCTCACTGGGTTCTATATTTAGGTTTTCTGCTGCGGTGGCTAATATTGAGAGGAGGCTTAGGTCACCTATTAACATTTCTGTTCTCTGAGTGAAAATACATATGGTTCTGAGCACCAGACAACTTGCAACGTCCTCTAATTTCTGCTAATGTATTCATCCTTTCCAGCACTGGTCAGAAAAGAATTTAAGAGGACAATCAATGTACAAGTATGACTTGACCTCAGCTCCATTCTGCACTGTTGTGGCAGATACCTGATCTACTGTTTTCCCATTTCTCATTTTAAAAGCACTGAAATCAAATGTCTGATGTGGTATTTAAGGGAGGTGAGGGGAAACTGCCTTGCAACTTAAGACTTCTTTTTGCTGTCACCCTCTGCAGATAGTAAGCTTAGATGACCAGCCTCAACCGAATATCTCATTTTTAGAAATCCAAACTTACATTAAATAAATCCTATCAGAAGTAAACAAATAACCAAAATTTCAGCATTTTATTGAAAAAATTATCAGAAAATTCACTTTAGCAGATGCATTTCAATCACGGGCATTTATTTTGGGATACCTGGAAATGCATGCAGACCCTCTTTATTTACATCTCGGCTCAAGTCTCCAGCTCTCTTCTGTAGATCTGCTGTCATTTCTTCTCTGTTCAGGGTCAAACCGACAGGCACAAATCTCTCTTTCCATTCTAACGCACCCAACTTAAACCCTCAGTGCACCATTTCCCTTCTGCGGGCTCCTGAAGAGCAGCACTGCTGTACCTCCATGCTGCTGTCCCTACCATTTATCGCTGTTACAGGATGAATGCTGCATCCTTTGAAATGGAGACATTAGTGCTCAGGAGGTCTCCAGCTGCTATTCAGAGCGCCGTGTGGAATTCCTGCTCATTCACATCACAGAGTGCTGTGCTGGAAACATCAGGTGCTGCATGCACTCACTATGTGTCTCTGTGGGTTTTTTTTTTTAAATATACACTTGCTGTTACCCATTTTAGATGCTGAACATTGAAGTCTTGAGCGTTTGATTCAAAACCCAACAAATAACAAGCACCAAGAGTACAGTTCTGCATTGCCTTGAAAAATAAAATCTCCTTTGAGCTGTGAAAAACAAGGCATTGGACAATTTTACTTTGAATCCTGTATCTGAAGGAAGTTTCTGGATGTGGAGCCAGTGAGTAATCGCTTTTAACTGCCACCACCTGAGCTTTCTGAGTCTCTCAGCAGGTGGTCCTGACAGTTCGCAATCAGCTGTGCTCAGCATGGTCGGGTTTGGGGGAGGAACGTTCTGGCACCTGGCTGAGTAACAAAAAGACCTGGTCAGGTTTTGAAGGGTCTGGTGAGAGGTCTGGAATGCAGGCGTTGGAGGCGCAGGGAAGGAGGTACGTGGCTTGGTGGGTGCTGGCCTGGGAGTTGGAGGTTTATGAGGGCAGTTGTGGTTGTTATGGGGGGCCTCAGGATTTTCCTTCAGGGCTTTTTCTTCATTTCTGAAGCACTACCGGCCATCCCTCTGGCTGTGCCCTGAAGTATAGTGGAAGGGGAGCAGTAGGTGCTGTGTAGCTTGACTTCATCACAGTGTTTGACCCTGACTCCTGTGATGTCCTTGTGATGAAGCTTAGGAAGTGTGGGATTTATGGGCAGAAACTGGAATGCAGGAAGTTCCATACAAACACAAAGAAGAACATCTTTGCTATGAGAGTGACAGAGCTCAGGGGCAGGCTGCCCAGAGAGGTGGTGGAATCTCTTTCTTGGGAGATATTCAGGATTGCCTGGACCCCCTCCTGTGTGACCTGCTGTAGAGAACCTGCTCTAGCAGGGGGTTGGATTTGATGTGTGGAGGTCCCTCTGACCCCCGCAGTTCTGTGATTCTGTGGAGATGGATGTGGGCAAGTAACTGTGCTGGGCTGAATTCAGCTAGCTCTGCGGTTAGTAGCTGTCTGTCTGCTGCAGCAGGCCGAGCTGTGTAATAATGATGTAATTTCTGCAGAAATGACTTGCATGACCTTTGGCCATTTGTTCTGCAAGGTGGTTGAGAGCAGATATCTATTTTTAACTGTTCTTGGCAGCTGGTGGATTCACAAAGGTCTGGCTTCCTCCTGCTGAAGTTCAGATATTGAAGTGAGCAGTGGGGAGATGCTCCCTGGCAAGGGGAGTCAGCCTGAGCATGTAGGGTCCCCATACTCATGACTTAGGTGGCTGTTCTGGGGGCTTGGGGTGTGCTGTTTTCCCTGTGGCTTTCACCAGCCATTTCTAAGCATGTGTGAGGGCTGCGACTCCCCTGTGCTAAGGCACAGTGCTCAAATCCCAAGTGGAGGCTGTTTGCAGCTCACTGGAGGGTTATTTGTCCATGCTGTGTTCTTACTGGCATGCTGTTAAACTCCTTGTGTAGCCTTTTCATGCTTTTGCTTAGCTTTCTCTAGTAAGTCAAACTGGAGATTTATGCAGGTGCTGTTTAAAGATGTCTGTCTGGCTGTGTCAGAAAACCTGTATGGGTGTTCCTGTCAAAGTGTTTTTGATGTCGTGGGATGCCTGGCTGCTGCCATTGTCACTGGTTTGTTCTTTATTGTCAAAGGCATTGTTTGACTCCCTGCTGCAAAGAGAGATGGAAATTGGAGCAAATATCAGGGTGTGTAACAGAGTCTTTACCAATGAGTAGATTGAACTGGTCTGGACCATCTCTTCATACCGTGCTTGTCTTCCAGAACAGACCGGGGTCACATGCGTAGGCCTCTGATCTCCTTTAGCAAAAGCAAGGGGAAATAAGTTTAGGAAAAAAGCTAACTCAGATTAACAGATGGGTTTAAAGAAATAATAGTAGTTGTGACTCATTGGCCAACCCTGCTGTGAGTACTTGTAAATCCAAGTTATGCAAGATCAGGGGAGGAGAAAAAAAAAAAAAAAAAAACCCAAAAAACACACACAAAAAAACCAGAGTTGATTTGTTGATTTCTGAGCCAAGTTGTTGTATGTGGAAACATAGAATCCCCATAAGGATCCTGCAGATACTCCTGATCTTTGCAGGGGAACCAAAAAGCACTGCTGCTTTCAGGAGCTTCAGCTCATTTCATGTTCAGATCCAGAGCTTGGTCCATTTCCATTTTCCAAAATTAGAAAAGAACAGTCGATTATGAAAAAGATTCAGTGGCACAGAGCACAATGCTGTTGACCAGTAGTGGATCACAGGAGAAGCTAAAGGCAAGGAGGAAATTCTGTTTGTGTTTCAGCTTAGAGGAGCAGATGAAATGAGAAGAGTGATGATTTGGAGGAAGGGCAATTGCAGTTAACAGTTGTAACCTGAAATGACCATATACCATGTATTAATAACCCCAGCTAGCTCTGTTTGAAAAGTGCAAGATCTGTAAAACTATCTTGATTCATGACATACTGAAGGACTGTCCTATCCACACAAAGCGAGACAAGCCATCTGTTAACATGGTTTTCTGTGAAGCTTTGCTCCTAGTGGGTTTTGCTGAGAAGATGGGAGAGAAAAGGAGAGGGCACAGTAAAAATGAAAAGACCTGACGTGATTCTAAGGTACAATGTGGGTTAACCCACAAAATAGAAACATATTTCAGGAAAACAATTCAGCCAATAGTAAAAGAAAATAAAACATTTTCTATGTTGTAAACTACAGGATGAGCTGTATATAAATACATATAGGCAGACTGTGGCAAGAATTTAATAGATTGCTTGACAGGTCACCTGGGTGTTCTTTAAAGTGGTAGCACTGCATTCTTCTAAACCAAACAGTTCCTGCTAACCATTAAACCACTGCGACAGAACCTTTTGTGGTGGCTGCTCTTCATGTGGGCAGCTCAGCCCAGCTTCTTGAAGGAATCAGTGAGAACACAACTTGTTCCTGCAGTGACCAGCCTCTAAGAAGAGTTTCTTCCATCTACCTACAGCTTTGGGGTTAGAATTAAGTTCCTCCAGCTCTAGTCAGAAGGCAGCAGCATCCCTCTTTCAGTCTTTTCCTTTGCTACGTGGACTTCTCAGTAATGACACAAGCCATCACAGGTTTCTCATCTATTGCTCTGGGCTGTTTTCTTGTCACTTTTTTCTTGTAATCCCCGTTGTTGCAGTGATCACAGCCCCGAGCTGCTGGGATTCAAGCACTCTCAAACATAGGGTTTGGATTGTAGGTGGTAACAGATTCTATTTGAAATGCAACCCTCTCCCTGCTTCATGTCCTCCTCTCCTTCCTTGAGGGGGGCACAGGGGTTGGTAAATGTTTTTTTTCCTCTGTGATGGAGGAGAGGTTGCTGAGTGAGGGTGTTCTGTGCAACCCCAGCCTCTTGGGAGGCTTCGCCTGCAGCTGGGCAGCTCTGCACATTGTGGGGCCTGGTCAGGACTGATCTGGTGTTCAGCTTCCAGCTGTGCTGTAGAACTGCTTACTAGAAGCAACTTGGCCTCTCTATGGTTTCCACCCCATTTCTAATAATTTTCTGTGCTGAAAGAGAAGTAAATGCTTAATAATGTATTAACTTCTGCCCTATTAATATGTATCACATTAGCTTTTACTGAATCTATCTAAACAATGCTATTAGGCTATAGATTTAAGTGAGTGTTTTTTGTTTTTACATTGAGTTTTTTTCCTCGTTATGTTCCACTTGCTTTCTCTAACAGAAAATTAACACTTTTGTGGTCTTCTCAGTAGTTGGCCATGAAGAAAAAAAAAAAAGTCATCTTTCAGAGAAACTATGCTAGGAGTACTCTGTGATCTGCCTGCTGTCCTGGATGTATCTGCTATGTGTAATTCTGGAAATTCTTCTTCACAAGTGACAGTAAATATCGGTGTCCGTTTTCTTCCAAAGAAAAGATTTTGGCACTGATTCCAGAAACTGAAATGACTCTGGTAAATTTGGAAAGAATTATTTTAAATTGTTGGTGTATTTCTACTACTGTTGTTGTCAGGATCTCATTCAAGGACAGGGCATGGTTATTACTTTTTTAGAAATTCAAAAACATGGAATTGCTATGCAGCACACTTGATGACAACAAATAAGATGGCTTGGGGGAAACTAAACAGCCTTAGCAAACTCGGTTCACCTGCAGCCTCTCGTTAATCCTTTTCCCAAAGATTTCTGGTTCACTGCCTCCAGTGTGTGGTTGCACCACACTGTTGCTCCTGTAGTATGGATTGGAGGGGCCAGACTGCTTCCTCTGCTCCACTTTAGCCTGGCTGTGGCAGCTGTGTCACTTGCTGGCTCTGGGACACTCAGTGAGAACATCTCATGGGCAGGGATGCATCACTTTGTCTCTGATGGTGGAGATACCTCCCACAGGTGGGATAGGCATGTAGAATGCTTGGAAAGAAAGTGCTAGCCTTCGTGGTGTTACTACTAAGAGAGAAAAGGAATGGGAGACAGGGTTAGCAGAGCATCTTTGCGGCAGCAAAACACCCAGTCTCCAGTAGCCTCACCAGATCTCTCTTGGTCTTGCTAGGTGGGAAGGGACCACTGAAGCTTGTTTTGCCTATCTCCTGTTCAAAGCAGGGGCCACTGTCAGCCATCACTGGAGTTGTACCCTGGGACATGAAGGCTCTGTGTGGCTTTGTCTCCCTCTGACCACTAATCCAGGTACATGCACGCTGGTGGGGGATTCTGACTGTGGAAGGACATATTAGAATGACTTGCATTTATTTATTTCACAAATGCTGCTGAGTTGGATACTTTGAAGAGGTGCTTTTTATGAGCAGGTATCTTAAAGTGACAAATGCTGTTCTGAGTGGTGTTAATCTGGGCTTTGTGCTATGCCTTTATATTTTCCCTTTCATGTGCTGTAGTAAAAAATATAGGACTGTTATGTCTTGGAGAAATGAAATACAAATCAGAAGTTGAACCATTTTCCTCCACTCCAAATCTAAGAACCGTAAGCTTTTCCTGCCTGCTTACATGTGCTTGGTTGGTTTTGGTGTATCCGCCAAAACTATGCAGAGTTAGTGACACCTGGTGTGTTGCTATGATCCTTCAATGGAAAGATGGATGTCAGTCTTTGACCAAATCTAAATAACCTTCATGCAGAATACCTTCTGCATGGCACCTCTCTGTTCTAAGGATTATAGTGAGAGGACTGAAGATTCCCATTAGGGATATGTTTGGTGGATAAGAGAGAACTCTATGGCAAGGAGGTGCCTGTGCCAGCCATATACTACCCACCTCTGCTGAGTACAAGGCATAGAAAGAAATGGTTTTTCTGAGACAGTGTGAGCTTCAGCTTATCCCTGCTGCATCTACAGGGATGCATGGGAGCTCTGCACTCAAGGAGAAGATGGAAAACCAAGTTTCTAAGGAGAGAGCCAAAAGCAAAGGGAGTGAGACTTGGTCTCTGGTGTGGGGAGTTGGGTGGGGGCCTGGAAACACTGGGTCTCACTGCTGCACTG